CGCCACCCGACCAGTGGGGGCACCCTCCCGCAGCCGTCCCACCCACCCCTTCACCCCGCCCCGGCCAGACAATGGGGCTCACCGGGCTCGCGGACGGACGCCGCCGAGCATGCGCTGCGGCGCGGGGCCTACTGGGATTTGTAGTCCGCGAGCCCGGTGGCGCGCGTGGCCGACTTTGGTCATAGTGTGCAGGGTGTGGGAATATGTGAGAGCTTCGAGAAGGCGTTTTCCTCTCTCCTGCGAGCCAGAGACGTGCATATTCATATAATGAGGCCCCCTGTCCCGAAAGCCAGAAGAATTCTGAGTGAGGCAGCTCCCTGGCCCCTCAGAGCCGTCTATGCTATGGACCATTGGCCCGATTCTTGAAGTTTGTATTTTCCCAGTTTCGCGGTACACTTTGTTGCCCAGTGTGCCAGAAAACCTTCCGCCGCCATGCTTTTGCACTGGGCTAAGTCAGACAGGAATATCCTCAAGCCTTAGCCCCTGCGGAACTTGTATGCATCTTTCAGGATCCAGTACGAAAGGTTCTTGTGCACAAAGGATTCTTAGAAGTGGCATCAGTCGAAGAGATGGATGGAGACCCAGCAGAGGGAGGAAGCCATTCTGAAGGAGATGGTATTTGGGATAGATGTCCCTTAGATAGGCGTTGGGCTTTTGGATATGGGGGAAAGGCCTCTAAGCTGCAATGTTGTTATTTGTTATATGCCATCCAGTCATACCTGACTCATAGCGACCCCTCCTTGGGTTTCCGGGGCCTTTCACTACGGAAGTAGATTGCTCAACCTACCTTCCGAGGAGTGGCTGGTGGCTTTGAAGCGCGAGCCTTCTGGTTAGCAGTCAAGTGCGTTAGGGACTAGGCCACCAGAGTTCCCAATGAGCAGTGTGTACAAAAGCCGCACCCAACCCCCACACTCAGAGGAACCCTTTGCCGGCCCCCACTTGTCTTCCCAGGCCTCCTTTTCTGATCTGGACAATGACCTGGAGCCAGGGCTGGGCAAGGTCAGAGCTCCCAGAAGCTTAGGTGGAGCAGGTGCCCCAGGCCCCCACCCTACCAGCTGTGTCAAGGGAGGCAGGGTGGACATCTGACTCCTAGGCAGCTGTCAAGAGACAGGAGCCTGGCTGCTCCCCTCCACCCACACCCAGTCCTTCCCCAGAATGGATGAGTGGAGAAGCAGAGAGGGGAAAGGAGGGATGATAATAAAAACAGTAAAGAATATGAGTGCCTACTGTGTGCCAGGCACTATTCAAAGCTCTTTCCTGGTTTCAACTGATTTTATGCTTTCAACAGTCCTATGAGGGAGTCATGCTCCAAATGAAATTGGAGATCCAGATGAGCAGAGGCAAGGGGATTTTTAAGCTGTGAGCAGAGGTGGCTGGACTGAGGAGGGTCAGAAGCCTCTGACACTGTTCATCCACTGACTCAGTTTCCTCTGCTGCGAGATGAGCCAGTAACAGTTACCTGCCTACCTGTGGCAAGTTACTTCAGTCTTCTTTGCCTCAGTTTCCTTATCTGTAAAATGACTGTCATACCAGTACCAACCTCAAAGGGTTCTTACAGAGATTAAATGCAGTAGTACTTGTGAGGCCTTTAGAACATGCCAGGAAGAAGCCTTGTAAGTGTTAAGTGTTATCATCATGGGTCTTGTTAATTGCTATTTGAGTTCTTCCCCTCCTTACTCAGGACAGGCCTCTGCCCTTCTTCCTCTCCATTTGTCTGTTTTTGAAAGGGGGCTGAAGTCATCAGGCATTAATTAGCCAATGCCCTATCCCTTACCAGCTCACAGTCTGACCAAGAGACAGATCTGAGAGGAGACCACATCCACTCACAGTGAGCTGTTCTGTGATGGGGGCAAGCAAGACCTGTGGGAGCTCAAGAGAGTCATCTGACTCAGGGAAGGTGCCCTGAGGCAAGCTGAGCTGGGCTGTAGTGGGTGACGAGTTTACCAGGCAGAGAGGGGTGAGGGGCAGGCAAGGAAGGATCCTATGCTAAGCAGGGTTCTCAAATTGTCAGAAACCCCCAACAATTGTTAACAATCCAGTTTTCAGGTCCCTAAATGTGAATTTGTCTGTGGAGTGATGGGTAAGCTGAGGTACACACAGGCAAAGATTTGGCCCTTGCACACAGCTAGGCAGGGTTCAGGGCTAGCACCGGGAAGGGTGCCATCTTCCAAGGCTGGGATGGTCTGGGGCTGTTGGTAATGACTGTTTGTCTCTCCCCTTCCCCATGAGCTGGGATAGTGAGGCCTATGATTACAGAGGTAGCCCAAGGGGACAAGGCCAGCCAGCCAGTCCATGTACTTCAGTGGGCTCCTGTTTGCAGGATTAGGTCTGCCCCTTGCTCACAGCAGAAAACTGTCAGGGAAGCCCAAGCAAGGGCTTGGAAGTATGATCCTTAGGCATTCCAGGTACCCCACACCTATCCTGAAGAAGGGAGGGGGCAGGAGGGTACCCTGGTCAGCAGCACTGGAAGGGAAACCTGTACCCTCCCCAGCCCACTAGCCCCAGGTCATCCTCAAACCTGGGAGAGACTGCAGCCTTCTGGCATTTCCTGGGTGAAGCAGCCTCTCCCACATCCAAGATCCTAGGCCACCCTGGGGATGGAGCCCAGCTCTGAGGTGGGACCCAGGTATGGGTTCAGATCCTAAGACCTCCCATTGCTACATGGGTAACCTCAGCTGAACCATTGGATCTCAGTTTCCTCATCTGTAAAATGCAGTGAGGGTTAAATGATTCAAAATAGGAGTTGAGCACAAGTACTGAAAGGGTCTGTACCTACTATTAGGTGCTGTCAAGTTGGCTCCTACTCACAGTGACCCTGTGTATAATAGAATGAAATACTTGTCAGTCGTGTGCCATCCTCACAATCCTTGTTATACCTGAGCCCATTGTTGCAGCCACTGTGTCAATCCATCTCATTGAAATCCTTCACCTTTTTTGCTGACCCTCCACCTTACCAAGCATGATATCCTTCTCCAGGGAATGGTTCCTTCCTACAACATGACCAAAGTAGGTGAGACAAAGTCTGGCCATTCTTGCTTCCAAGCAGCATTCTGGCTGCACTTCTTCTGGAAGTCCAAGGTGCTTTCAGTATTCTTCACCAACACAATTCAAAAGCATCAACTCTCCGAGGGTCTTCCTTATTTATTGTCCAGCTTTCACGTGCATATGAGGCTATGGAAAATACCATGGCTTGGGTTAGGTGCACCTTAGTCTTCAAAGAGACATCTTTGCTCTTCAGCATTTAAAAGAAGTCTTTTGCAAAAATAAATAAATAAAAGAGGTCTTTTGCTGCAGATTTGCCCAGTATAATATGATGTCTGATTTCTTGACTGCTGCTTCCATTGGTGTTGATCCAGTCCTGCAAGTAATATGAAATCTTTGCCAACTTCAGTCTTTAATCCATTTATTGTGATGTTGCTTATTGATTCAGTTGTGAAGATTTTTGTTTTCTATATGTTGAGATGTAATCCACGCTGCAGACTATAGTCTTTAATCTTCATCAGTAAGTGCTTCAAGTCATCTTCACTTTCAGTAAGCAAAGTTGTGTCATCTGCGTATCACAGGTTATTAATGAGCTTCCTTCAATCCTGATGCCATGCTCTTCTTTATATAGTCCAGCTTCTCGGATTATTTGCTTGGCATACAGATTGAATAAATATGATGAAGGGATACAACCTGATGCACACCCTTCCTGATTTTAAACCATGCAGCATCCCCTCGTTTTGTTTGAACAACAGCCTCCTGATCTGTGTACAGGTTCCTCATAAGCACAGTTAAGTATTCTGGAATTCCAATTCTTCTCAATGTTATCCATAATTTTTTATGATACACACAATCGAATGCTTTTGCATAGTCAATAAAACACATCTTTCTGGTATTCTTTGCTTTCAGCCAAGATCCATCTGACATCAGCAATGATATCCCTCGTTCCACATCCTCTTCTGAATCCAGCTTGCATTT